GACTGGTGTGTCCTAAAAAAGTTGGTGTTCAATCTAAATGCTGGTCATGTAACACAATGCATAGCTAATTTGAAATTAGTTACGAATTCCACTTTCAGTATACTGCAGTGTAAATACCAGTATTCCTTTTCCATGCTTTGATCCAAATTTTCAAGGAACGCTCTGCCAAAATCAAACTTCTCAAAGTCACTGCTTAAAAAGAACAAGAAAGCTTTCCACCTGCACAAACTGAACACTGTTAAATCTCTAATGACTTGATTTTGCCAACAGTGATGTCTGTCAATATGAGTTGAGAGCTTCTTGTGGATTAGCATTTGAGTGGAATCCCATAAAAGGTAGCTTACCTTTGTATTACAAATCACTAGTGGGTGACTTAATAAAAGTGGGTCTAGTCTCCATGGAATTGCAATAATGTTTCTTATTTTCCAGGTAATGACCATGCCCTATTCATGTACTATGCGTGTATTTATGTATAATAGACCATGTAAACTTTCTTGTAAGAAAATGAAAAATAAAAGAAACTGGCTGTGTTACACATGCACTACAATAATGACAGGAAAACAGCAAAACCTCTGTAATGGTAATGGCAAAAGCACAACGGTTACTTATCTATCAAAGTATACTCTACTGTCAAAGATATATGTGAGCTACAGTGGACAGAAATCAAAGCTAGTTATGTAAACTATATGATAAAGAAATGCACTGAAGCTTGAAATTCAACTGTGAAAGTCATTTCCCCTAAAAATCCCCTCAGCAATCCCCTCAGCTTCATCTGTCTCAAAACACAGAAGAAATTGTAAAACAATTGTAGAGTCACTGAATGTAAATAATGTCGCGTCTGCGTACATTTGTTCTTTTTCTTTCTTTTTTGTCAGCACTGGCCCTATGAATAAGGTAAATTTCATGCCACTTCATTAAATTGATTAAATTATAAGTAAGTAACTTTTACTTAACTGTATTTAACAGCAGGGTTTCTCCAGGGTGATATTCATGTGTACTTGCAGGAAAATGCTAGGTTGATTACCTTAGCTAAACCCCTGCACTTAGGCACAGATTTAGCAAATGGAAAATCTGCTGACATTTTGTGTGGTGTGTATACACACTGACGTGGGTAAAGATGTGTTTTTATTTGATTCAAGGTCATTTGGCTTTGCTCAGGTTGGGGTGACATTTGCTTGTGATCTAATTCTTCATGGAGAGATGCATCACTGTAGGGCTGGGACTTGTTTCTCCACTTTCCTGGCACAAATGACTCCTCATTCCCAGAAAAGGAACATACTAATGCTCTCTCTCCCTGTCTTTCTGTCTCCGTCTCTCTCTCTCTCTCTATTGGTCGCACACTGACAACATGTGCACGCAAACAGCATCTCCTCATTGAATGACAGTGTGAATGTACCTCATCAAGGAATGAGTCACTCTACTACTCTGCTATTATGATGATTTCTCCCTTCTGTGTATTACATCATGCAACAGAGGGTTCTGCTCAGTTACATTCACCACAATAAACACTTTGCGAGTACACTCATTTAGACTGTGCAGGGGTTTATTAGTCAACCTTGCATGGAAAACATTATTTGGTCAATCTTCCAAATGACTTTTTATCTAGTTAATTTGTATGCATTTACTGAGAAGTACAATGTTATCACAAGCTGACAATGAAACATAAGGCTGACATTAGGATGGCTTTTTGTGTCACAAAAACACTCAAAGTAACATCCCTGAACCCGCTTCCTGTCGATATGTCTGGGGTTAAGGTCAAGGATTAATGCATATTTCACTGTCACATGGATTCCCATATACCATTAGGCGTAGTTCGGCTCTCCGAATATCTGTGATTGGGTCTACACACTCAAAGCCATTACAATTATTGCAAACCTTTTTCAGTAAGGAATAGGAGGATACCAATCAATAACAGCGTTCATCTGGCATAATTGCTGAATTTCATGTCAGCGAGAGAATATGAGTGCTACTTGAGGCACACCAATATTCTACATATAGCAGCCGCAAATTGGTCCCTTGTGCTTTAATCACACAGGCAGTTCAAATCATTGACTTTGCAAATCATTACATCTCACAAGGCATTGTGTTCAAGACTACTGATGTATTGAAAGGATGCCACGAAAAGAAGATACTACATGGATGGGAAGAATAATTACAGTCCGGTTGCAGGGTTCTTACATTAATCCAAAACAAAAGATTAAATTAAACTCAACTATTACAGCTGTATAAGATGTTGGAGGCAGAGAGAGGAACAATAGAGCTTGACTCATTCTATACAGCAGAACATTGTCTTAATTTAATTTATTGGGTGTTTATTTAATAGTTATTATGTGGGACACAACAATAAGTGAGGACTAATTCAATTGCATAAAAAGACATCCTTAGGCCACTTTTCTTGTGTGTGAACACTATTTTAAGCTCCATTTATGGTGTTCAAATTAAACATCTCAGAGTTGCTGGAAGCTTCTTGTGTTAATGGAATCCCACATAGCGGATTGTGTGGGGAGGAAAGCAGATGAATCTGTATTCCCTGAATGTGTCTGGGCAAAAATCAATAAATGCAAGCACAGCTCCTCGCTTCTGACGGCTGTCCCTGTCTTTGCATGGTGGACTAATAGAAAAATAATAATTAAATCCAAATCACCAGATTAATTTGTTTTCCATCAGTCTCAGGAGAGATCTATTTTTTTCCTGTTTCTTTAGTGGCTCATTATACTTTCTAATCAAGACAAAAAAAGTCCCTCTTTTAGACAGACATGCTGTCTCCCTTCCCCCTTCTCTTCCCTGTGGTGTGTTTTCTCGCATTGCAGTCATTGTGCTGGCACTTATTATGTTACAAATGACCGAGGTACGGCAGGCATTCTCAGTGTGCATGCAAAGAGGGCCCACCCTTCTATGCTGCTAGTGCCTTCTCCTAATGACGATGCTTAGAGTGCCCCCCGACGCCACCCCATGCAGCCCTCTCCCCCATTCCCGCCCCCATGTGCTCTCTTTAATGAAGATTCTCCAATGCAATTAAAAATCCTTGCTTCTTGCTGCTACTGTATGACAAACAGAGCCACTGTCATTCCTCATGGCCTGTCATTCCTGTTACAAGAGGCGGAGAAGATGGAGAAATACACCAGGGTGCCAGTGGCTAGAGAGACAGATAGAGAGGATTGTTTGTGTGTGTGTGTGTATGTTTGAAGAAGAGCAAACCCCCCCCCATCTCAACAGGTAATGGAAAGGGGCAAAGAAGAAAATCAATGACCAAAGAACATGGAGAGCGAGCTTATAAAATGGCTTTAACTGCACGCCACAAGCTGAATAAGGGGTTCTGTGTCCATCCTCCAAAACTCGGGTGATCATGAATGTTTTATCAGACCCCAACCCCGCCACCACCTTTTCTTTTTTTTCTTTCTTTTCTTCTTACACATGAAAATGATTCCTGTGTAACATCTCTGCAATTCTTGCAGTAACATCAAAAAGGGTGACACTTTTGGATGTTGTGACATAACAGCAGAGAGAGAGGAAGAGAGAGAGAGAGAGAGAGAGAGAGAGAGAGAGAAAGGAAAAAAAACAGGATACATTTATGGTCATTTATAATGTTTATGAAGCATTAATATGAATGTGCCTGTAAACCAACACTCCATCAAGCTGCTAACAATGAGTTCATTGTTTGTGTGTGATTTATGAGGTGTCTATAAACTAACAGTGAACAGTTTGTTAATCCAGTATAATACCTGTTAAAATGGATACAACCAGGGGTGATGTGACATGTGCTGAGACACACCAGTTGGCGCTGGCTCTGTGACCCATCCTTATCCTCGTCAGGGTGGGGCATATAAGAACAGTTGCCCACTCCATCTGCAAAAAAAAAAAAAAACTCTCCACCATCACCCTCCCCTCCACCCCCCCTTGTTGTTTTCCAGTTGAATGAAATAATCTTCCCCCGTCTGGAAACCCAGTCTGGGTCAGAGGGCCTGCGTTCAGCCTGTTGCTTATTGTGTGTTCAGAAGAGGAGGTAAAGCATACAATTAGGCACAGATGGCTGTCTTTGCCAGGCAATGTATTGATCCTATCCCGAGGAAGACCTGTCCCATTTCTGTTTTTGTTTGGTAAATGCCTTGTCATTTAGAGGCTGATTGAAACTCATTTGTATTTGTTTGATCATGTATCATCTTCTGAAGGATCATCATTTGGTCAGTTAATAAAGAGACAGAGGAGGAATTTTTGTGACTCAGTACTGACAAATAACTGTAGCTTAAAGGAATTTACTGGTAAACAGATAAATAGACGGATGCTAAAAGAGAATGTAGGCTTTATTTTTTGAACTTATTAAACGCACTTTAATGTGTGGATGATAATATAACATTGTTTTAACGGATTTAATCACTTACATTTACAACTTAGTCCTACATCAACCTGAGCCTTCAGTGTCTCTCACGCCATTAGTCAAATAATTGATAAGTCCACTGACAGAAAATTAATCAGCAGCTATTTTGACGATTGTTTAATCGTTCATGTCATTTAACAAGTAACAATGTCAAATATTTTCTGGTTCCAGGTTATACTAATAAGGAATGCAACTTTATTCATAAAGCACCTTTCAAAAATAAATCCATAAAGAAAACCAAAAAATCAAGTGTCGTTGTCTGAAATATGAAGGAGACTGTAAAACTTTAACCCCATTTCCTCTGCAAACATACTAAATCTTCGCATGCAGGTACAATTTAACGTGTTTTAGTTCAAATCCACCTTATAAAGCAGACATTAAATCCATAATCTACATCACCAAACTGATCAAAGTTATATAAAAGTTGTGTCTTACACGGGGAAAAAACATGAATTAATGTATATATATATATGTTATGCAGCCTATTTGTTTATTATCTTATTTGTTTACACTAGTGGCCGATAATCGCCATAGGTCTGCGTGGTTTTTAAGATTGCCCACAAACAAACATCCATAAATAAATAAAAAGTTACCGCTACATATCTGCCGGTGCTGTGGAGAAAAAAGCTATAATGACAATGTCGCATTTAAAGCGGTCAATAACTGTATCCTTCCTTTTACTACGGCCGCTGCACAAATAATAAGTTTTCTTTGTGTGGCAGTAGTGAGCTGACGTCAGGTCGGTTCCTTGAAGTGGAGCTGAATAAACCTTGAGAAGAGTCTCCTTCAATCTGCTGTTAGTAACTAACACACACACTCACACACACCGAGACTCAATTACTGCCCAATTCCCTTCTTTATCACTCGTCCCCGACCTTCTTTCATAACCAAAACCGACCAAGGAAAAAAAGAGGCGAGAAGAAGACCAAGCCGAAGTGTTTAGTTGAACTAAAAACCCACGTTGGAAATAAGTAAAGTGTCGAAACTAAAAAAAGGTAAGTGTTTTATTTCACTGACGCTGTTTTCCCCACATCACAGAACAAGCGATGAGCTGCGTAGCGCTGGCTCCGTTTCTAGTTTCTTAGCTCTCTTTTTCTTTTTTTTTTTGTCAAGCTTGTGTAAACTGGGTTTTATAGATTAGTTTCTTGTTTTCTGTTAACGCTGTAAATTCATTCAGACTGTTGTATTTTTCGAACCGGTACATTTCGCTGTAAAGTTTTTTTTTTATTTTTTTTTTAACCTCTTTAATATATAGTGTGTGTTTTTTTTTCCTCTTCTGAGTGGTGACCTGATAGTGGGAATCGTCTTTGTGTCCCTCTCTCCTGTTTTTCCCCCCTTACTCTTTCTCGCGTCGTTCACTCAAGGGCTATTTGATAACTTGTCTTATCGTTGAGACATTTAAACTTTTTTTTAAAAAGGGTTTACGGGTGTTGT